TTGCTTCGCTCAGCTGCGACGAGGGGCTGCTAGAGAACGAGATTGCTGCTTTTCTTCTCGACTGCTGCAGCAGCAGCAGCAGCAGCAGCAGCAGCAGCAGCAGCAGCAGCAGCAGCAGCAGCAGCGGGAGCGGGAGTGGGGGAGAGGAGGAGTTGATGGTTGTGGGGAGCACCGGCACACTCTGCTGCCGCAGCAGCAGGAGGCCCATCTGTCTCCCTGTTGCTGTTTCTTGTCTGCTGCAGCAGGAGACGCAGCAGCAGCTATATTACGATGAAGCTTTGCTGCAGCAGCAGCAGCAGCAGCAGCAGCAAGTACACCAGCTGCTGCAGCACATACTGGGGGCCGATAGAAAAATATATAAAACTAAACAACTACCCTCAGCCTATCATATCGTTGATACCCTAGATGAATACATACCTCCTGCTGCTGCTGCTGCTGCTGGTGCTGCTGCTGCTGCTGCAGGGGGAGATGCAGATATAAGCAGCGCGATAGAAGCAGAAGAAGCAGCAGCAGCAGCAGCAGCAGCAGCAACTGACGGCGACGGTGACTCCCGCGTCCTCAGCTACACCCTCGTAAACCCCTCGCAGCACCCCCCCCACCACCACCACCAACAGCAGCAGCAGCAGCAGCAGCAGCAGCAGCAGCAGCAGCAGGTTCGTGTGTCGCAGCAGGTGCTGATAGGCAAGAGAAGAATATACCGCCCCAAGGCAACCCGCCACCTGCAGCTGGCTGTCTTTCATTCTACCTCCCACTACCTCACACCCCTCAGCAGCAGCAGCAGCAGCAGCAGCAGCAGCAGCAGCAGCAATGGTAGCGGTAGTGGTAGCAATGGAGGAGAAGTGGACAGCAGCAACAGCAGCAGCAGCAGCAGCAGCAGCAGCAGCAGCACAGGTAGCGGTAGAATGCCTATACAGCTTTTCAGAGACCTGCAGCAATTCGGGTTTGTGGGGCGGCCTGCAGCAGCAGCAGCAGCAGCAGCAGCAGCAGCAGCAGCAGCAACAGCAGCAACTGCTGCTCGCGTTGCTGCGCGGAAGGTTGTCCGCTGCGACTCCTGGCTGTTCACTCCTTTCCCGCTGCAGCAGCAGCAGCAGCAGCAGCAACAGCAGCAGCAGCAGCAGCAGCAGCAGCAGCAGCAGGATTTGGTGCTGCCTGAGTGGGTGCTGGAGCTGCGGCGAGAGACAGAGGAGGGAGACACGACAACTCACCCTGAGTTGCTGCTGCTGCAGCTGCAGCAGCAGCAGCAGCAGCAGCAAACAGCAGCAGCAAGCAGCAGCGGTACAGGAGCAGACGCAGATATAAATGATGAAACAAAGAAAACATATATTCGTTTGTATGCACCTGCTCGGTGTTTGCTGCTGCAGCAGCGAAAGCAGCAGCAACAGCAGCAACAGCAGCAGCAGCAGCAGCACCTGATGCTGCTGCAGCAACCTTCTGCGTTCTATGGCCTTGTTTCTCTTTTTCTTTATAATTTACGTGTGGCGATAGCTGAGCCAGTTGAAGCAGCAGCAGCAGCAGCAGCAGCAGCAGCAGGAGGAGGTACTGAATCAGCAGCAGCAGCAGCAGCAGCAGCAGCAGCAGCAGCAGCAGCAGCAGGAGCTAGTTTATTTTATCCTGGTTTACTAGGAGACAAACAAAACTCGATTCAAACTTTTTACGAAAACAGAAAAATATTAAAAGCAGCAGAATCACCAATTGCTGCACTCAGGCTTTATAATAACCAGGTCAGGCTGCTGCTGCTGCTGCTGCTGCTGCTGCTGCTGCTGCTGCTGCTGTTGCTGCTGCTGTTGTTGTTGCTGTTGCTGCTGCTGTTGTTGTTGGTGTGTTGTTGCTGCTGCTGCTGCTGCTGCTGCTGTTGCTGTTGCTGCTGCTGTTGTTGTTGGTGGTGTTGCTGCTGCTGTTGTTAGTGGTGGTGTTGCTGCTGTTGCTGCTGTTGTTGGTGGTGGTTTTGCTGCTGCATTTGCTGCTGCATCTATCTATTTGTTTCCGTTTTTTCCTCTGCTGCAGCAGCAGCAGCAGTAGCAGCAGCAGCAGTAGCAGCAGCAGCAGCAGCAGTAGCAGCAGCAGTAGCAGCAGCAGGAACCGAAACACCAAACACCAGCAGCAGCAGCAGCAGCAGCAGCAGCAGCAGCAGCAGCAGCAGCAGCTAAAT